CATCCAAGAGACTGCTCTAAATGCACCTGCCCAAGCGGATATGGCGGAACACTTTGCGACGAAAGAGTTAACAGAATTAGCAATAAAAAGTTGGTTCTGTGCAGCTGACATAAATGCAGTAAGTGTACTTTACAGCCAAGTGGATGCGGTAGGACACTAACAGCTACCACCTCCTATCAAACGCTTGAGGACACCGTGGGTGAGAGAGGTGCACGTAATGCAAAAGATGAGTTTACGATGTGCCACTATTGGATTAAGGTATATCTGCATTAACCTCTGGCAGAGTTGGTGCTAAGACAAATAATCTTCAAGGGACCAGCTGGCTCAACGATCGAGGTGATACTTGATGAGTTCTCGCACGGCGTGTCTAACGATGGCTGCAATTATGCTGGAGTTGAAATTAAAACAGGAAGTGATAAACGTCGTACTGGTTACAGGTAAGAGCGTAAGAATGAGTAACTCTAACGTAGCTGATCTATGGCTCCGATATTTTGTACTGTTTAGATTCTGTTCTCCAAGATTTGCTGGAACATCCTTGGTCTCTACGCACAATATCGTCCCTATAATTACATTCAGCAGGCTCTACGAAGTCAGAACCGTCTTGCGTTATCGAATCGGTAATCTGGAAATGAATATTAGCACTATTTCAGCTCTCATCTTTCAACTATTTACCACTGTAATGACTGTTGCAGTTTCCACTGGCACAACTCCGATGACTACTGAGCCAACGCCTGCGCCGACAAGGACGTCTGCTCCAGGTTGCAGAGATAGCATTGTGTACGTGCCAGCAATACATTCCTTATGGTCTTCCAAAACTTAAGCTATTATTTAGGTGCTCTGCGCTACTGAAATGGGATTTCTGTAATAATACCAAATATGATGACAAGTTAAGAAGGCAAGTCTGCCCAAAATCGTGCAATTTCTGTTAATTCACTTTAAATTCTCGAGTGCAAGCATTTGTCAGCTTTCGTTCGAGGACATACATTGGCTTGATATATGTAGTATGCACGCATAGAAAGAATAAAGGATAAAGGTTTAAACATTGATCAAATGCTGAATTATGCTCAAAGCATCCGATTCCATTAACCATCGTTAGAATTTTCTGATAGCACATCTGGCCGATGTAATACCCTCCCATAGATGTCTGGTACCAAATTCTCGAGCCATGGGAGGATAGGTTAGCTTGAGGAGCTAGATTGAAGAGACGAACATATGAATATTAGGAGGCACCTCTAACCACTGCGCTGGAAGCGCCATATACACACCCTTTAAACACATATTTCGATAAATTAATCTTCCAGCAAAGTAGCATTTCGCAATCTTGGCACTGTGAGATGGTAATTTGACAATGGACGCATAGTTCAATGTGGTACGGACCCACATCTTTTATAAAGGATAAAGCTCCCAGCGTTGAACAATCCCTGAGGATGCGCCATGCATTCGACTTCGTTAAGCTTCGATTGGAGATGAATGAATATATATCTGGGCTTCACAATGACTCGAAATGGTCTAGCAATGTATCGAGCCAATGCTGCTATCCTCCTACATAAGTCTGGAAGCAAATTGCCGAGCCCGGAAGTATGGAAGGCATGGTGAGCCACGAGCTTCGGAATCGATCACATGTGTATTGCAGGACGCCTCCGACCATTACGCTACATACCCCCTTGCATCTATTACAGTCCAGAATAATCGACTTGCTAAAGTTTAGCCGAGCTCGATATTCATTATTTTACCGAGTTTTAATGAAATCGTGCTCGAAAACTATTGACTTGCTAGATGCCTCCAATGCGATGCCGACAGCTGCAGGATGCATTGCCTTCCCGAAGTAAATCATATTGGAGACTAGAATTGATCAATACTCGGCCTATATGAAAAGGCCACCGCAGAGTGAAGTTCGTCACTCGTGCGTTGCCCCTTCCACTGGACATGATTGGATCAGACTGCGAGCACCCACATCGCCCACGTTGATCATCGACTCCGATCAACGCTGCTCTGAGGAAGGCGAAGGCGCGGAAACACTAGACGAATAAATTTTTTTATTGTGGTCACTTAGTTCACTTAGTAGTCGAAGGAGGTCTCGAATTACTATAGTTCAGTAGTAATTTCATATAGGATATTTTAATGATAGAAGTAGAGAATTTGTAGTAATTTCTCGTCAATTAGACTCAATGCAAGCCATCCATGAACTATGCATGCGACACGAACGACAAATGAACATTTATGGCCTTTCAATTCAACAGCTCAATGCTTCTTTGATACTCTCGGGACGACACCTGATCTCGGGTTTGTTGGGAACTGGACGATGCCTATTTTTCGGCCTTTGTGGACTTGCTGGTTTTTGAAGGTAAACAGTAATTTTTCGATAAATAGAACACTTCTTGGGTTGTGAACACGAAGGCTTGTAGAAAGGCGTAGCTCTGCCTCTCTGTGAATGTGAATAATATTTGTTGCACAGTTGTAAATGCTATAAAACATGTATCTCTGTTCCCTTTTCCGAAGACTAAGTGCTAACATTGCACTTATTCACAAACGTAAAGGTTAACGGGGCCACTTATTAGTAAACAAGTGAAGAAGCAGAAACCCACAGGTGATTTGAACATGAATACGTTACCGGCGCTAAATATTTATTTTTAAATGCATTTAAATTGTTGATCTTACACGAACTTTATAAAAAGATTTATTTGGCTACCGTTTAACGATTATTTTGCTACCGAGGTTGAACGACAGCCGGTTCCAAAATTGTTTACGCAAAATTGTTAAAAATACGCTGAGTTCTAGTTGACATAATACCAACTACTGAAGAAAAACAAATTGTTTTCAACGGATAGTCAAATCAACAACAACTGTCCTGTATAAAAGGCCATTGCCGGATGAGCAGACCTCATTCGTGCGGTTTTTTACTGAAGAAAACCTGTCTCGGTACGACTACGAAAACATCACCACGAGAAGACGAATCACTGTCGGCATCGGCTCGGATCATCGACTCTGAGCAAGACGTCAAAACGTTGGCCAAATAAATCTATTTATCAATCTCGTATAAACTCAGGAATTCGAGTACATGTTGGTTTCCAGGATCGACTTTCTATTAACCTCGGCATTGGAATATGAA